AGATCAACGTAATTATTAAACTAAACAAAAATAACTACATATTGAACTAAAACACAAAACTTTGTTGATGTAGTTTAGTTCTTAGAGGAAATGATGTGTCGATGTGTCGATTGATTCTTAGATGTATCGCGATGTGGACGTGGACATTGGTGAATCGAATCACAACTGTCAAAAATCTATTTTGTACATTTTAATAATAACGTAATGTTGACTGAACGCAAAAGGCGGAACTTGGAAGTGCGGAAGTGCAGGGTCCGAACAGTACGTTACGTAACAGTACACTACGTTAAAAGCTAGGGCAGGGGTCGGCAAGCCAAATGTTAATAAGAGTCGTTTTGTCCTTTCAATAAAAAATCAAACCAGCTTGGGAGCCACAACATTTTGAGTCCATTTTACCATCTTGGCTGTACAGCTTTAACACAGCTGTAGCCACTTTTCTTGCATCACCAGCAGGAAACTTTTCTACAAAAGTAGAAACATTTTTTTGTAAATTGTCTCTCAAATGTTTTTACGAGGCTGAAGTCAGTTTCTCGTTCTCCAGTTTCTTGTTCAAATTTTCCTGTTCCACCTGAGGCACCAGAACGTAACTGCTGCCCATTTAAGGTGGAACGAGAAAATTCAAACAAGAAGCTGACTTCAGCTTCACATTTTTTTTTAGTGTTTGACAGCTTCTTGTTGCAGATTAAATGTATCAGGAAACCAGCTGGAGTGCTTATAAATGCAAACAAGTCTATTCGTCTTTAAATTACAAATGTTCATCTTAAATCTTCTCTTTGCCTTTTCATTAGCTACTAGCTAGGTGAACTAACAGTTATAGGCTACATTAATTCCAGCGTTTAAGACCATTTATTGTTAAAATTGTGTTAGAATGATCAGCAGAGTTTTATTTTACTGCAAAGGAGGATTGTTTTTTTTTTTTTACATAGAAATCTAATTCTGACGTGGAGCCGCAACAGGGCAGTAAAAGAGCCGCAGGTTGCTGACCCCTGATCCAGCATATGGAAGCACTTTGGCTTCTATGGAGTTGAAGGGGAAAAAAGCACCTGGACCAGAGCCACACTACATGCAAAATGTTTCACACTAAACTAAAATATTTTGGAAACATGACAAACATGAGAAACCATATTACATGTTTCCACCCATTTTCCGCCCGGTTGTAGTTGCTGCCAACCAGAGGACCATCGATCAAGCGATGTCAAACCTTTCTTCCAACTCAGAAGCGAATTACAAACTCTATCGCTGCTTTTATTGCCAAGGATTTGCGTCCGTACTCAGTCTTTGAGAACCAGGGCTTTCGCACTATGTTGCACACTTTGGAGCTGAGATACAGCGTCTCGTATCGAAGATATTTTACTGACATATTTTAGCTACCCTCACTCTCTAAACGAGACCAAAACCGAAGCTATGGAATCACTGAAGAAAACGGGTAGGACAGCTGTAACATGATGCATGAACACGCATTGCCAGAGGATCTCATATCACCGTAACAGCGCAATTTATCACAGATGAGTGCCAGCTAGAACCTCATTCACTGCTCTAAACAAGAGCAGTGAAGTAAATTCATCATGGACTATTATAAATATTTTGCTTTAAAAGTACCAAGTTGTCACACAGTGAGAAAAAAAGAAATCCTGTATAGAAAAAAGATGCATCAAGATGCATCAATAATCATTTTATAATCGCATCACAGCCCTCTGAATCGTAATCGAATCAAATTGTGAGGTGCCTAGAGATTCCCCTCCCTAAGTGTAAGTAAATAGTTAACATGATAAACGATTATAAATGACTGATTTTTGAGAGATCACTCAAGGCCCAATCCCATTTCATCCCTTGCCCTCTACCGCTTAGCCCTTAGCCCTTACCCTTAGCGTTCACGTCTAGGGTTAGAGCGCCCAATTTTTGTTGAGATAGAGGGGTAGGGCGAGGTGTTAGGGCTACAGGGCCCTCCAAACCGAGGTTTTTCAGTGGCACACTCCAAACACAGTATTATGAGAAATAAAGAAAAAACGGCAATATGGCTGCACGAGTGACCAAAGAAACCCATAAATGTAAGTATTTTCTCCGTTAAAGAAATTACGATAACCATTGCATTATCTTAGTTTGATGTCATTTCAATGTATTATGGTCGTTTTCTTCGTAACAAGCATACAAATCACTAATAGCATGCTAATGTCTTGGTAGCTAGCTAGCTAACTTTCCCATTCCACCTTAAATAGTCCAGCAGTGCTGATGCATGAAGTGCCAGAATGTGACTGCTGCACCATGTAAGGTGGAACAGGAAAATTCTAACTAGAAGCTGGTGAATAGCTGACTTCAGCTTCGTATCACCAAAGAATTAGCAGTGGGAGATAATAAATAATTGTCTTATACCCCCACTTTGAAAGCATATGATGCCCTAAATGTAACTGAAGCCCAGCAGTGAGGTTGCTGAACTTTTCCCTTCTCTGCTATCACTGAAGACGGGCCGGGTCGCCTACAGGGCAGCGCTAGTAGCTGTTAATGAAGCAATTTTTATTTTATTTTATTTTTTAATTTGAGGGTTGTCCCATTTCGTAGGTCAAGATTTCAACCACTACCCCTTGTAACTCAGTTCCAAGGGGTTAGGGTGACACTCAAAAAGGGGTAGGGGTAAAAAAGAAGAAATGAGATTGGGCCAAAATGTAGCTCACAGAGCAGCACTGCTGATGGGACCCAGTTCACATTCACTCAATGTGCAAATTAGCCGATCACACCAAGATATGCTAATAATCTTATAATTGATGGTGCTCAGTAGCAGATTTTCACCAGAAAGCATAACTGATGCTTTATTGATGATGGCTGACTGTCTCACTTTCCATAACTTGGGACTTCCAGAAGGGTGGCCATGCTTCTATCTAGGGTGGCACTGATCACCCTTGGCTACACCTTTCATTATATCACTATTACTGTAACTTCTGAGAAATCAAATAATTTAGGTCAAATCTCAGAAGTTGTAAGAAATGCACCTTTTTCTGCCATTCTTGACTTATGGACACTATTCAGCAATATACGAAGAGATATATCAGGCAGAACTAAAAGAACATTTCACACTTGCTGAGATGAAAAAAATCAGTAAAGACACTTATGAAAATACTGTTTCTCTGGATGTTGCTACTTATCTGTTAGCATGCATTGTGTGAATTACCTTCCTTTGGATGTGTTTATGTTACTCAAGATTCATGAAACATTGGTGGTGGTCATAAAGATGTGCTACATAGGCATTTCCTCTATTTTTGCTGCACTGTAAAAAATTGTCGGCTCAACCCTAAAAAACCTTTGGTAACAAGCAATTTAACTGGTTTCATGCTTAAAAGGTTCTTTACATGGTGAAACCGTTCCTCAGATTGATGAAAAATGTACTTTATAACGTTTTTGAAGTTGGTTCTATTGTTACAAGCAGAACCATTTGTGGTGCTGTAAAAAACCATTTTCAAAAAGGTTCAATGCAGAACCGTATACAGCACAAATTGTGGTTCTCCACAAATCTGCAGAACCATTTCACCATGTAAAGATCGATTTAAGCATGCACATAGTTTTATATAAAAAAACTCATTGCCTTTACTAGCGAACCCCTAAAGAATCATCTTCGTAAGTGTGCATATATGTATGAATATATAATTAGAATATGATGAGTCACTAATGAACCATGGTGAAAATGTGGGTGTGGTTTGGGTGGAGGGCAAAACATTCTTTTATAGTAGCAGAACTAGTACGAACTTGGAAAATGACACAAAGACATTCATTCATGAAAGCTGCTTTACGCATCCTCGAGGGACTTGAGGCCTAATACATGAACAATGAACACCAGTTGTCTCTTATTGAGCTCAGGATTGCAAAGAACAAAAGTGAAATAGAAAACTGCATTCTTTACAACAGTAAAACACTTTTTAAATGTTCCATTTGTTATTTGTTGTCCATGTTAACTACAACACAATCTACATGAACATCTGGAATTCTCCAATAAACTAGGTCTTAGATTTGTTTAAAGTTAGCGAAGGAGGTCGGAGGCTTTGAAAAGTGGGTAAAATAAACATACGTCATACTAACATGCTAAGCTCACTCACTGCTATTACGCAGACAGCTCCACACCCTTCCCACAAGGAACCAGACATGAGTTCTAAAAACAGCTAATAATAACAATGCATACTCATCACCAGTTATTGATGCTGACGAACAAGAAACGTACATGCACTGGAATTCGAAACAGAATCCAGAAGCTGACTTTCAAGCAAAATCAAAGAAACCAAATTATGTCAGGCCAGGTGACTTGAATAAAAAAATAAACAGCACTAGAAATCATGAAATCTAAAATGTGGGTTGGGATTCCAGAGATTCTTCTAGCAGAAACTGACATGTAAGGAAGGTTGGAGACTGAATAGACTTTGCATTCCAGTTCTGGCGCTGTTGGGACCCCTATTTGGCCATTTTGGGAAAATTACTGTTTTTAGAAACTAGTCTCCAAAATTAAAGAACCATTATGCAAGGGCATATTTATTAAACTTAGGTAAGCATGCTCAGCAGCTGACATGAGACATTACATTACTTACAGTAACCAGCATGCCCAGTCTGACCACCTATTAGTCCAAGACTGTCACGAGTGCATGTGAAAAGGTATGGATCACATAATTGTTTATTTCATATCATTCAACATACTTTGACATACTATTTGTGTTGTTAACCTGAACACTTCCACCAACTTGAATATTTGAACAAATTTTTTTATCTAAATCAATGTCATATATTTGCTTGCTATCTTGGGAGTCACAGAGGGCAAGAGAACACAACAGACTGTAACCATTTAAATATCAAAGGTAAATGTCATATTTTACGTCAGCGCAAGGACATTTTGGAGCCTGATGCCCCAAAGCAGCATCCATCAAAAACAATACGTCAAAACCTCGCGTAAGAATTTGTGCAAGGGTGGAGTAAACAGGGTGGGGAACAAAAGGATATAAATTAGGATGCTAAACACTAAGCCAGTCATTTTTTGCAAAGCAGGTGACGGACGCTGTGACAGCACTGAAGAACAAATAAGTGAGTGTTTGTACATCTTTTAATAAATAAAACAGAATTTTTAATACCCGTAATTACTTTATTACTGAAAAATACCAATGTAATAAGGTGTGAGGAGTGATAAAAATCACAATTTCTGATATTTGTTATAATGCACAATATAATATCTGAAGTAAATCATGCGTTATGATACTATCAGCTACTATCAGCATTATGCTAGTGTTGTATGGTTCAGTTCTTTGTTGAATTTTACAGAACAATTTTTACAAAAAACAGTATATCAGAATCAAAAAAACTGTTTATGACATAATTTAAGCATTAACTCAGGCAAATCTTCATCTTTGCTATACAGAAATCTGACACATCCTGCCTCACTCAGTCTGAGTGACATTGTGACCTTTTATTGTTCATCAATACTACTTTTTCTTACATTTATTATGATTACATATTACTCTGGTCAGTTTTTACATTTATAAAAGCAATTTTATCCATTAATATTACTAAATGTATTTTATTCTACATTTCAGCCAGAGCAAACTAACTGAGAACAACATGAAGGAAATAAAACTATACATAACCATTGGTGAGTAGCTCATCACACCATAGCAGATTTTAAACAAAAGCAAATCAGTAAAGACACTTATGAAAATACTGTTTCTTTGGATGCTGCTACTTATCTGTTAGCATACATTGTGTGTATTACCTTCCTTTGGATGTGTTTATGTTACTCAAGATTCATGAAACATTGGTGGTGGTCATAAAGATATGCTACATAGACATTTCCTTTATTTTTGCTGCACTGTAAAAAATGTCGGCTCAACCTTAAAAACCTTTGGTAACAAGCAATTTAACTGCTTTTATTCAACTCAATTAAATCCTCTGAATTGAATAATGCAAAGCAAAATGAATAGGTTATCAACTAGCAAAAAGTATTTCAGTGAACTGAACCAACTTAGAGAAATCTGTTTTTCTCCCCCTTTCAAGTTCAAAATCGAAGTCTTTCTAAGTTTTTAAAGCTGAGAGGGCTAGCTGAGTTGGTGTGGTGTGATCCATCTCTAAAATTACTATTAGACAGCTTGTTCTCCGTTTTGGACTTTTTACTCACCATTCAGAGATCGATCGAGAACAGCAAAATGGTCTATTTTTCTGCAGGGGGTTTCAAGCGTGTAGAGTTAAGCCACTGCTACTGGAGCTGGGTTGTCACGTTGCCTGAGAGACACCATTGTCAATCATTTTGCGTTCTGACGTGCCCACTCAGTTCTGATGAGGCAGCAGTTAGGAATTTTCAGAGTATTTATCGACTACTGAACTGTATTTATTTATGTTTCTTGAATATGAACACTGGTAAACTTTTTTCCAAGCCATATCTTTACTATTAAAACAAACATTTTAATATTTGACAGGGCTTTAAGAGTTTTTTTTTTTAAACCACAGCCAATGGCCATACAATTTTAAAATGCTCTATAGATTGAGACTCTAAATCTGTAAAATACAACAATTAAAACATGTCTTTTTTATTTCATTAGTTGCCTTGTTAAGCTTTTAGATTAAACTGTTGTCATTCACTTACCTTAGTTTGTCTGGACATATGTAAGCAAGAAATGTGATGTAACTTTGCAAGTTCACATTGAAGACCCTGGGTTAGAGGAAAAAAAAAAAAACGTAAATTCAAATACTTTAAAAGAGTGCTGCTTTTTACAGTGTGTACATGTTTTTCAAAACCACCAAACTAAGAAGTGCTTTGCCCTTTTTGAAATAATTTCCTGTGTTTACTTCATTTTGGAAACTTAAAAATACAAAATCTTTAAAAAAAACAACATAGTTTTTAAAACACAAAAAAATCCAAAAATGCTTCAGTAAGTTTAGAATCAGAAATAAGAAAACACCTTATTACACTGATCTTAAGGTGCACAGCCAAGTATCTGAACATGTATTGGAAAAGTAGAGCTGTGGTTAAGACCACATTTGTTGAGTCCAAGACAAGACCATAACTAAATGAGACAGAATTGAGACTAAGTCTAAAAGGGGCCCAAATGAAGAAGTGAGACAAATCAAGTCAGAGTCCAAATGAGAGTAAGACCGGGTCAAGAAACCCAAAGAATTGAGTCCTCTTCAAGACTGCTACAAATTACTGGAAAAATATAAAGGATTTTTTTCCACAAAACACCATAAATACAAAAATAACTCGTGATAATAAAATACCTCCTCTTCTACATACAAACACAAATGAATTGTATGAATTGAGTTTTTTTGCATTCAACACCTGCTCTGAATGAATCCAACCAATGCCTGCTTTATAAAATATCAACACATGTTTCTGTCTTGATGCCTTAATTAAGTCAATTAATTTACTTGGCAATTTTAAGTAACCCTTGTTAGCTAGTTTTAGCATCAAAATTACATCAGGCTACCTTCTATTTCTTTTATGACAGAAATGTAAGACAAATTAAAGCCTTTAAATTGGCAACATGAACTGTTCTTATCACTAATGCTGCCCAACTGACATCAACAACCCTTCCTGTCCTTTTATCTGCTTGAGTCAGCTGCCTCTTGTTTTTAATGGAATGTAATACCAAAGTTTATACAGAAAAACATGTGAAATGGTTCACCTCTGTGTAACACTTATTGCCAGGTTCAGTGCCATCCTATCAGATTTTAGACTCTACACACTGACCTTTCACTCTTAAAAAGATGATTAATCAAGGGTTCTTTAGTAAAGAACAATGTGTTCCATATAGAACCATATGCATACTTTGCATGGTGAAATGTTTTTTCAAACGGATGGAGAATGTGCTGTATATTGCACTATATAGCACCAAAAACGATGTCAAGCATGAACCCATTTTATATATAGAACCAATAAATACATTCTCCATAAATATGCAGAACCATTTCACTGTGTAGAACTCATGGTTCTAAATAGAACCTTTGAAGATATACATTTTTAAGAGTATAAGATAGCCTAGCTACGAACTACATACATTGTTAGCTATGTTAGCTAGCTAGCTAACCTAGCTATGTGCAAATGTGTGCCTTTAGAGTACATTTAACAACAGTTAGTTAGCATAACAGTAGACTAAACACTACACCAGTCAAGCTGACCAGGCTGTCAAATTCAGTAAAAACCCATTTACATGGACAAACCTACTATATGAGCAAATGTTTGCGTTAGTTCCCTCAGTCGTGACAGTTGAAACTCGGCTAATGTTATCTAGCTACACAAGCAAACTCGGCTAACTTAGTTACTTCTGCAACAGAATGCTTTAGCTAAATTACCTCAGATTTAACAAGATAAATAACAGCAAATAATCTGGGCTACCTGGTGCGGTATAATGAAATTGAAACGCGTCTATTTACGTAATTAAAACATCACTAAATAACAGGAATAACCCAGCCAACACTTTTAATGAGCACCGGCCAAAAACGGGTAGTAATGGGGAGTCGATTCCAAAAGAATCGATTCTTCGACTCCAACACGTAGGGAGTCGTGGTCGACTCTTGGTCAGTGACTAAGAGTAGAAATGTTTGGAGTAGATTCTTCGACTCTGTAGGGTTTGCAATACATAATCATTAGAAATGGTACAAGATACGAAAATTAAAACTGAAAACAATATTTTTCACAGGCTGTAGAAAAGATAACGAAGCTGAGATTTGCTGCTCCTTGCAGATTTTTTTCAAATTTCCATTACACCTTAAATGGTGCTGCAGTTACATTCTGGTGCCGGCACACCATTTAGGTAACTGCTGCATCACTTAAGATGGGCCAGAAAAGTCGAGTAAGAAGATTATATATACGAAGACAATTTAAGCCTCGTAAAAAGAGGAAGATAACATCCAACTAATTCCTTTCCAAAGAAAGACTTTGGAAATGGTTCATTTTCATAGCGTAATGATTTTCTAGCCAAGTACATCACTCTGAGCAAACTTAAGTTCATATCACAGCTGCAGGTACACTCAGTTGTTTAGGGTGGTTTAATCTTTGCTGTGTCCCTTTATCACCCGCTGTGGCGCTGTTTTAGTGACATGAAGTGGAGTCGAGGAGTCGACTCGATCAATTCGATTGGAAGGAGCTGATTCTAGCAAACCCGGTGTCGTGCATCACTACTGAGGGGAAGGGTTTTCTCACTGTGGTTTATTATATTTAATAGCAAAATGGTACAAAGATTTTATACCAAACATTTCCACCAAAATGGTTGGACCAGTAAATACTCCGTCTAGAACTGTGCTTCTCAACCCTGGCCCTGGAATCCCACTGTCCTGCACGTCTTAGTGTTTTCCCTGCCCTTACTCAACACTGTGCTGTTCATGAGCTGATTAGGTGGTTCAGGTGTGTTGGGAGCAGGCAAAACACTGCAAAAAAGGGCAAACCAGGGGGGCTCCAGGACTAGGGTTGAGAAACACTGCTTTAAAAAGGAATTCCATCATTTTTTCAAAATTTCTGAATCATTCAGAGTGGTTTGATGTGAAATGTTTCCATGTAGAAAAACGTACAGATTCTGGTGGTGATAGGAACCTATGGGTCACCGTATCTACAACACAAATATAGCCATTTACCATCCAAAACCACCAGTGGACCTGCACATGTCTTCTGAGTTTTTATATGTAATGCTGATGATGGTAAAATAGGGGTAAATATGAATAAGTTTTCTTTGGGGATTATTTTGCCCTAGAACACCCATCTAAAAAATAAGCATTTGCTGTGTTTATAAAAAAAAATGAAGAACTTTTACATTCTCCAGTAAGTTTATTTGCAAAGACTGTAGACTTCGCAAAGGCTTTCATAGATTATTTCCATTCATTATGCATGGAAATTATTAATGAAGGATCTAACACAGATAGCCTGCTAGCTCAACGTAGTAATGTTAGCTGCACATATTGAGTTACAAATGCAGTCTTAAATCTGTGATCGTGCAGTGTTTGAAAACTCAAGAAACCGTGAAGAAAGTACAGGTTGACTTATGAAAGCAGTTACCTTAGTTTGCAGATAGGTACAAACTCAAAGTGATAAAAAATGTTGAGATGAAGGTGGGAAGGGTTATCAATTTTTTTATGTATTTTTTCCAGGCCTGTTACTCCTTAAAAGCAGCGTTAGAGCTCAGACAACAAATATCACTACAGTGACCCAAGGACCTTCAGCATCAACTGACAGCATGACATCACCTGTACCTTCTGCTAGCTCAGTTTCAATAACTGCTGGAATCTCTCTTCTCACAACAAATCATTCCACAACATCTGTTACAGTTCCTGAAAGTTATTCACTCCCATCAACTACATCACAATCAACAGGCACAAGTGCTTCTTATCCAACAGCATCAGGTTACACTAGTTCTACTCCAACTACTGTTTCCACAAACCCATCAGTAGCAACTGGTAGTTCAGTGACAACTGCTAACCCAGCTACCTCAGCCACGACATTAGCAGTCACTTCAACAAGTTTATCAACTCAAAGCTCAGTGGTAACAAGCAGTGGGTCTTCAAGTTCTCCAGCAGCACAGAGTCCAATAATAACAAGTAGTTCTGCCACAGATTATGTGTCAACAACTACAAATGCAGCTGGAAGTTCCTCTGCAATGAGTTCTACCAAAACGACTGTTGACTCCATGATTTCAACAGCTCATCTAACACCTGGAGACACCACTCTTACTATGGGAGTACCTGGGAGTTCTTCTGCAACAACACTTGGTTTCACAGGCTCTCTTTCAGCAACACAGAGTCAAACAGTAACAAGCAATTCAGGGACTTCTACCACAGCTCAACTAACAACACCTGGATACACCACTTCTGCATCAGGAACAACAGAGAGTTCTACTGCAACAACTGTCAGCTCTATGAAAACTACTTTTTACCCTGTGACATCACCCACAGAATCTGCACTAACTTCTGTTGGTTCCACGAGTTCCTCTTCAGCAGCACCAGGTGTAAGCAGTTCTGGGACTTCTGCCACAAATTATTTGTCGACAACTGCACAAGCAACTGAAAGTTCTTCTGCAATAACTCCAACGTCAGTCAAAACAACATTTGACTCCATGCCTTCAACCACAGGTTCTGCAACAACAACACCTGGTTTCACAAGCTCACTTTCAGCAACACAGAGTCAAACAGTAACAAGCAATTCAGGGACTTCTACCACAGCTCAGCTAACAACACCTGGATACACCACTTCTGCATCAGGAACAACAGAGAGTTCTACTGCAACAACTGCAAGCTCTATGAAAACTACTTTTTATTCCATGACTTCACCCACAGATTCAACAACAATTTCAGTTGCTTCCACAAGTTCCTCTTCAGCAGCACCAGGTGTAAGCAGTTCTGGGACTTCTGCCACAAATATTTGTCAACAACTGCACAAGCAACTGGAAGTTCTTCTGCAGTAACTGTGACTTCAGTCAAAACAACATTTGACTCCATGCCTTCAACCACAGGTTCTGCAACAACTACTTTTTATTCCATGACTTCACCCACAGATTCGACAATTTCAGTTGGTTCCACAAGTTCCTCTTCAGCAGCACTAGGTGTAAGCAGTTCTGGGACTTCTGCCACAAATTATTTGTCGACAACTGCACAAGCAACTGAAAGTTCTTCTGCAATAACTCCAACGTCAGTCAAAACAACATTTGACTCCATGCCTTCAACCACAGGTTCTGCAACAACAACTGCTTTTTATTCCATGACTTCACCCACAGATTCAACAGTAATTTCAGTTGGTTCCACAAGTTCCTCTTCAGCAGCACTAGGTGTAAGCAGTTCTGGGACTTCTGCCACAAATTATTTGTCAACAACTGCACAAGAAACTGGAAGTTCTTCTGCAATAACTCCAACGTCAGTCAAAACAACATTTGACTCCTTCCCTTCGACCACAGCTTCTGCAACAACAACATCTGGTTTCACAAGCTCACTTTCAGCAACACAGAGTCAAACAGTAACAAGCAATTCAGGGGACTTCTACCACAGCTCATCTAACAACACCTGGATACACCACTTCTGCATCAGGAACAACAGAGAGTTCTACTGCAACAACTGCAAGCTCTATGAAAACTACTTTTTATTCCATGACTTCACCCACAGATTCAACAGTAATTTCAGTTGGTTCCACAAGTTCCTCTTCAGCAGCACTAGGTGTAAGCAGTTCTGGGACTTCTGCCACAAATTATTTGTCAACAACTGCACAAGCAACTGGAAGTTCTTCTGCAGTAACTGTGACTTCAGTCAAAACAACATTTGACTCCATGCCTTCAACCACAGGTTCTGCAACAACTGCTTTTTATTCCATGACTTCACCCACAGATTCAACAACAATTTCAGCTGGTTCCACAAGTTCCTCTTCAGCAGCACCAGTTGTAAGCAGTTCTGGGACTTCTGCCACAAATTATTTGTCAACAACTGCACAAGAAACTGGAGGTTCCTCTGCAATAACTCCAACGTCAGTCAAAACAACATTTGACTCCATACCTTCGACCACAGCTTCTGCAACAACAACATCTGGTTTCACAAGCTCTCTTTCAGCAACACAGAGTCAAACAGTAACAAGCAATTCAGGGACTTCTACCACAGCTCATCTAACAACACCTGGATACACCACTTCTGCATCAGGAACAACAGAGAGTTCTACTGCAACAACTGCAAGCTCTATGAAAACTACTTTTTATTCCATGACTTCACCCACTGATTCAACAACAATTTCAGTTGCTTCCACAAGTTCCTCTTCAGCAGCACCAGGTGTAAGCAGTTCTGGGACTTCTGCCACAAATTATTTGTCAACAACTGCACAAGCAACTGGAAGTTCTTCTGCAGTAACTGTGACTTCAGTCAAAACAACATTTGACTCCATGCCTTCAACCACAGGTTCTGCAACAACTGCTTTTTATTCCATGACTTCACCCACAGATTCAACAACAATTTCAGTTGGTTCCACAAGTTCCTCTTCAGCAGCACCAGTTGTAAGCAGTTCTGGGACTTTTGCCACAAATAATTTGTCAACAACTGCACAAGCAACTGAAAGTTCTTCTGCAATAACTCCAACATCAGTCAAAACAACATTTGACTCCATGCCTTCGACCACAGGTTCTGCAACAACTACTTTTTATTCCATGACTTCACCCACAGATTCAACAGTAATTTCAGTTGGTTCCACAAGTTCCTCTTCAGCAGCACTAGGTGTAAGCAGTTCTGGGACTTCTGCCACAAACTATTTGTCGACAACTGCACAAGCAACTGGAAGTTCTTCTGCAATAACTGCGACTTCAGTCAAAACAACATTTGACTCCATGCCTTCGACCACAGCTTCTGCAACGACAGCAAATGGTTCCACAAGCTCACTTTCAGCAACACAGAGTCAAACTGTAACAAGCAATTCAGGGACTTCTACCACAGCTCAGCTAACAACACCTGGATACACCACTTCTGCATCAGGAACAACAGAGAGTTCTACTGCAACGATTGCAAGCTCTATGAAAACTACTTTTTATTCCATGACTTCACCCACAGATTCAACAGTAATTTCAGTTGGTTCCACAAGTTCCTCTTCAGCAGCACTAGGTGTAAGCAGTTCTGGGACTTCTGCCACAAATTATTTGTCAACAACTGCACAAGCAACTGGAAGTTCTTCTGCATTAACTGCAACCTCAGTCAAAACAACATTTGACTCCATGCCTTCGACCACAGGTTCTGCAACAACTACTTTTTATTCCATGACTTCACCCACAGATTCAACAACAATTTCAGTTGGTTCCACAAGTTCCTCTTCAGCAGCACTAGGTGTAAGCAGTTCTGGGACTTCTGCCGCAAATTATTTGTCGACAACTGCACAAGCAACTGAAAGTTCTTCTGCAATAACTGCGACTTCAGTCAAAACAACATCTGACTCCATGCCTTCGACCACAGGTTCTGCAACAACACCTGGTTTCACAAGCTCTCTTTCAGCAACACAGAGTCAAACAGTAACAAGCAATTCAGGGACTTCTACCACAGCTCATCTAACAACACCTGGATACACCACTTCTGCATCAGGAACAACAGAGAGTTCTACTGCAACAACTGCAAGCTCTATGAAAACTACTTTTTATTCCATGACTTCACCCACTGATTCAACAACAATTTCAGTTGCTTCCACAAGTTCCTCTTCAGCAGCACCAGGTGTAAGCAGTTCTGGGACTTCTGCCACAAATTATTTGTCAACAACTGCACAAGCAACTGGAAGTTCTTCTGCAGTAACTGTGACTTCAGTCAAAACAACATTTGACTCCATGCCTTCAACCACAGGTTCTGCAACAACTGCTTTTTATTCCATGACTTCACCCACAGATTCAACAACAATTTCAGTTGGTTCCACAAGTTCCTCTTCAGCAGCACTAGGTGTAAGCAGTTCTGGGACTTCTGCCACAAACTATTTGTCGACAACTGCACAAGCAACTGGAAGTTCCTCTGCAATAACTGCGACTTCAGTCAAAACAACATTTGACTCCATGCCTTCGACCACAGCTTCTGCAATGACAGCAAATGGTTCCACAAGCTCACTTTCAGCAACACAGAGTCAAACTGTAACAAGCAATTCAGGGACTTCTACCACAGCTCAACTAACAACACCTGGATACACCACTTCTGCATCAGGAACAACAGAGAGTTCTACTGCAACAACTGCAAGCTCTATGAAAACTACTTTTTATTCCATGACTTCACCCACAGATTCAACAGTAATTTCAGTTGGTTCCACAAGTTCCTCTTCAGCAGCACTAGGTGTAAGCAGTTCTGGGACTTCTGCCACAAATAATTTGTCAACAACTGCACAAGCAACTGGAAGTTCTTCTGCATTAACTGCAACCTCAGTCAAAACAACATTTGACTCCATGCCTTCGACCACAGGTTCTGCAACAACTACTTTTTATTCCATGACTTCACCCACAGATTCAACAACAATTTCAGTTGGTTCCACAAGTTCCTCTTCAGCAGCACTAGGTGTAAGCAGTTCTGGGACTTCTGCCGCAAATTATTTGTCGACAACTGCACAAGCAACTGAAGTTCTTCTGCAATAACTGCGACTTCAGTCAAAACAACATCTGACTCCATGCCTTCGACCACAGGTTCTGCAACAACACCTGGTTTCACAAGCTCTCTGTTGACACAGAGTCCAACAGTAACAAGCAATTCAGGGACTTCTACCACAGCTCATCTAACAACACCTGGATACACCACTTCTGCCACTGCTGGAGCACCTGAGGGTTCTTCTGCAACAACTGTGAGTTCTATTAAAACAACTGATAATTCAACCAGGAATTTGGTGACTTCAGTTGCTTCCACCAGTTCTCAGGTAACAGTCGAGAGTCCCTTTGTAACAAGCCATTCAATGATTACTACCACAATTCCAACATCCACACTTTCAGGGTCAACTGGTTCTACATATACATCTGGGACTCACGAAACAACTGCTGCATCCACAAGTTCTTCTGCATCAACTCCAACTCTAAAAGCAACAAGCAGTTCAGGGACCTCTACCACAGGTCCACTATCAACCACAAGACCTTCTACAAGCATTACAGAAAATACAGCTAGTTCATTTGTCCTTTCAGGGGCTGTAGTGGGAAACGGAGGCATTTCTGGAAATTTCTCTTCAACTACAAATTCCATCACCAATACCAAGAACATTATTACATTAACAACTCAATCTACTCCATCATCATCTGGGTCAGGATCTAAAGAGTCTAGTTCAATTACTGCAGTTCCTACTTCTAGCACAGCAAGATTTACATCTGCAAATGGAGTTTTATCACATTCCAATGAAACATTGGCAACAGCGGCTAGTCTCACAGTAACAATCTCTTCTACTTCTCTTACACAAACTGCAAGTCCCACCCCTGTTACAGTAACAGATTCCACAGCCCCACCTTCAAATGGTGAGGGATCCATGGAGCTTGGATTCAGAATGATACGGCAGTTTGAACCAGATTATGCGGATGAGACAACAGTGAAATATAAGGAACTGGCAGCAAATGTTACCACAGAGGTAAGAAAATACTACCTGTCTATCTATAAACATTTTTAATTTTATGTCTTTTTACATAACTTAATAAGTGATAACAAACATTCAAATTGGGAACTGGTATTAAACTTTCTAAACTTTTTTGAAACATGTTGCTGGCATTAAATTCAAAATGGGCATATTTTTCAAAAAACAATACAATTTCTCACTATCAACACTTGACATATTGTCTTTGTACTATTTTGAATTAAACATAGGGTTTAAACTTTTTGCAAATCGTTGGATTTTGTTTTTATTTACATTTTGCACACATCCCAACTTTTTTGGAAAAAAAATGATCTTGTCTTCTCTCACAGGTGAATCGAGGTTATAAGATTATTTTCCCTTACACATACAAGAGATGTCGGGTACAGCAATTTTCGTAAGTACTTTCTTTTTGCAATGGCTAACGGAGAGCTACAGCCAAAAACTGACCACCTTCCAAAACTAACCATCATCTCTTTGCCTTTTTCAGCCCAGGGTCAGTGATTGTCAACATGACGCTGATTTTCAACAACGAGTCTGTTGTTCCGAACACAACGCAAGCTGAAAATGCTCTTGCAGTGTCTGTAGAAAAAGGAAACACATTTCTGAATGTGGATCTTTCTTCTATCACTGCCAGTAAGTTTGCTAAGCTTCTCATTCATAAATAAATATATAAATAAATAAATAGAATAAAGACAGCAAATCAAAACTACGATGAACTGAAAATGTTAAAGTGACACTAATTTTCTGATCTGTCAAAACTCTCTCTTAGCTCTACTGACCACAACAAACGCCACTACTGCTGCCAGTACATCTGCAAACATCACTACTGCTGCCAGTACATCTGCAACAGCTGCATCCAATACAACATCAGCCAGTACCGCATCAAACACTACACAATCAGGAGCTGCTAGCTTCACTGGAACAATGCTGATCTGGATCACCTTGATTCACACCACCTATGCAGGATTTTGTAATTGACTTTAGTTACTGTCCAAAGAAATACAACAAGAGCAAATCTCTGACTTTAAATATGTCTGTACATGAAACAATGTTCTGGAGATACATTCTGATACAATAGTAATTGCAGAGTAGTTGTAGGTGAACAGTTAAACCTTATAGCCCCTAGCTATCTGCAGGTCATTTCCACTGGGATGCAGTATAACACTCAATAATTATTTAAGTTAAAAAAACAACAAAAAACTTTCAAATATATTTCTCCAAATAGGAATGCATATCTTACGATATACTGCTTTGTCATGCCCATTGGCTACTGGAACCATAGTTAGAGTTCATTGGTTCGTGCAAGTGCACGCTGAGCAAACCGAAAGCCAATGAAAATATATGTGATTTAAATGAGACTATGTAGCCTAGATTTGCTTAGACCAGTGGTCATCAAAGCTGTTCCTGGAGATCCACTTTCCACTAACCCTAACTGACCCCACCAGATCAATCTAATTATTGCCTTAAGAAGTCCTTGATTAGCTGAATGAGGTGTGTTAGAATTGGGTTGAAGAAGAAAGTTGCAGGAAGGTCAATCTCCAGGAGGAGGGCTGGTGACCAATTGCTTAAACATAAGTTAAAAGAGATCATTCAGCACTCGTTTTATAACTTTATCAAATCTTGCTATGACATTGATAGACTTTAGGCAATCGTTTTTTACAGCATGTAAGATAGAGTCACCAGCATCCCCATGGGGTTCTAAGGGTTAATCTATGTACAATTGATCTGAAGGGAAATGATGTATTATCTGCTAAGGTGACATTGTATATAATGCACACACTGGACATATAGAGTCAGATGTACTAACATTTTTTGAAATTTTGGCACTATATGTGCCTGCAATTGTTTGCACTCAGGGAAAAAGAATAGAGAGAGTTATTCAGACACATTTATTTATTTTCAATGGAAAAAAAAATGTATGTATGTATGTATGTATGCCGTGTAACACTTTTCTTATTTAGATGAAGGAAAAAAAACTGTCATAGGAGTAAACTGCTTATTTCTAATACGTTGGGTATATTTTACAGCACACATCTTCAGAGTATGCTTTCTTTTGCAAATCATTGTTAAAAGATATTTATTAATGGCTGTTCAAGCCCTATATTACTAAAGCTACCTGTTACTTCATTACCTCATGTTCACACTGCATGCTCAGACAGAGAAGTCACAGCCTGTGATGCCCTGCACAAAGCCAAGAACTCACTCTGACCAAAAGTTTAAAACAATATAGTTCCTAAACAACCAGGATGCACTCAGGAAAACTAAAACATTTTACAGTATCCATGGTTTCTGAATGCACTTATCATGAAAAGCCTTATTTTCTCAATATAATGACTTACGTCCCAATAATTAACTATTTTTTAACATTACTTTGACTTCAAATTACTCAAAACAATGGTTTATTTTTATTTATAACATTTTAAAATGAAATTTCATTTATTGTATTTTATTCAATTTGAACTAAGGCTGAAACAATTACGTGTCATGATCCATAACGTTGACAATAAAAACTGTCTGCAAATATTTCGGTTGTCAGTTTTTCATTTACATTTTAAAGTGACATCTGACCTGGGGTGAGTTAACCACTTTATCTGATGAGTGCAGAAATAGCCATACCTATGTGAGCAGATAGCTAAAGAAAAACTACTATCATGGCTGAAAGTTTTCAGTTCCAGTGTTTACAAGTGCATGATACAATGTAAACCTTTTACAATATTTAAAATAAATTTGTCATACTACAGGCTTTCAACTTTCAAATGACAAAAAAGTGAATAAAGTACATAGAAATGAGCTTCAAGATGGCCAAACAAATCTTTTCATGTTCTTTTTTTTCACTAGCATAAGAGGCATACTGTTAAATGTTAGGCTTTTTTCTCTTACTTACACTTAACTTTCATCACTACCACCCCATCACATTCAAAGTTGAGACTACACTAGATTTGAACAGGTAAACAATAATCTTTTCAACTGATGCTTGTTTATAGGTATAAGTAAAACCCAAACCTGTGAATCTTAAGTGCAAAAAAATGCATGAGGTGTGGTGGCTCACTTCTAGGAACCATAAACATGGAATCAAGTGTTCAGCAGTTCAAATCCTGCTTGGGGTGTGTTTTTGCATGTCTTTACTGTGAAGCTGTAAATATCAGAGATAAATATCCAAAAAAAAGAGATGACTGTTTCTGATCTGAATAAGCTGCAAGGTGGACTTATTACATCGCCTGTGTCAAGCTCCAGCCCTCATGGGCCAAAACACTGCAGACTTCAGCATGCTGCCTCATTAAACACACCTGATTCAGCTCATCAGCTAATTAGCAAAGTCTTCATGAGCTGAATTCAGAGCTTTAGTTGAGGATAAACGCTAATCTTCACAGCACTTTGGCCTGGAAGGTCCACAGTTTGACATGCCTGTTTTACATTATCGAGGGCAGTTTATGTTTTATGACTGTCTTCCTGATACAAATGATTGTTTAGTGTGGGAAAGTGTGGAAACCATAATCAGGGCGGAAGCAAGTAGCACATATCTGTATTATTAAGATTGTCTCTTATAGTAACTCATTTGCTTTCAGTTCTGTTCAAATGAGGTAAACATTCTAAAACCACATGTGGTGTGTTCAGATCAAAAACAGACAGTCCTCTCTTCCTCGAGATATCCTAGTCTAAGAGTCTTATAAACATCAGTAGAACCAACCTGGGAATCTCAAAGTCAAATGTCCAAAAAAAAAGGCACTTTACACAGTAGCCATGGTGGTGTCCTTGAATAAAGCTATTGCTTTGAATACAAAAGATCGTGGGTTCAAATCCTGTGTAAGAAGTTTCTTTATGTATATAAGCTGGGATTCGAGAGATAAATGTCGAAAAAAAACAAACAATAACCGTGAGATCCTGTGGCTCGCTGGTAGATGCCATGCCCTGTGGTTGGGGGTTATCGGTTCAAATCCCGATCAGGAACTCCACGTCATGGTTGCGGTTGTCAGTTGAAGTCACCTTCCAAGGAGATCCTGGATGGAGCCTGGAGGTGCGCTGAAGCCGGAGGAAGGCCGGAGGGCGATACCCGAGAAGGGGGGGGAAATAACCCGGGCTACCCCCCCCGGGCCTCCCGGACGAAGACAAGAAGGGGTTATAAAGCTGGAACTAAGATTTTTTTTTCGACTTAGGTTTTAAATATATAGGTGTGGTTTAAAACCTATCACCCTCCTTTTGAGCGGCTTCTGGAAGGAAGACCGCTGCTATTCTTCTTTACTTCTGTCTCGCGCCTTACCGCCTCTCCCTCTCTTTCCAGCACCATGTCCATTACCCACCAGGATGAGAGACTAGGCCAGATTTGAACCAGCAACCTCTTGGATTTGAGGCAAGGCTTTTCCCACAAAGCCACCAAGTCTCACACTACACAACCTTTTTTTTGGGGGGTTTATCATGAAGATTGACCACAGCCAGAAAACCCCACAAGGGCTCCACCTTGAGCACACATGGTGTGTTTAAGTTACTCGTTTCCTTTTTAAAGTGATACTGATTTAACATGCTCCTCAACACAAGGAAAAAGAACAGT